TCTCCGATGCACGGTGAGACCACCAGAATTTGCAGTTTCTCCCCAGGGTAGTATGCAATTTTCGCCCTGAGATCCATAAGAATGTATCAAAATGCATAATTACATTCCAGAGGCAATGTTGAAACTAGTGTCCATACTAGAAATTGAAGTAACCACATGGAAACACACTCAAATCTAATAAAAACAACCGGATATACAACCGGTTATCTCCAAATGTGTCCAATGAGAGCTTACTTAACCCACATGCTATTGTAGTTTGATACGCAATCAAAACATTTAATCACACTATTTGGCTTGTGTCTATGCGCACATAGCGTCGTGGATATTCTACGAAAAACGTAGAGATCAATACTTGCATTTGCTTTGTTGTATTGTCCACTTGTGCTCCAAATCCGAAGGCAGTTTTGAACAATTTCTCAAACAGTAGCTGATGAGGATGCAAATAGTTTACACCCATAGCTGGTTTGAAAGTGCTGGGTGCGATGTCACCTCACGGTTTCTTGTTCGGAAGTTGGTGCTCGTATGAAATATACAAGCATCTTCATATAGCTATGACAATCGCTCATTGCTAGCATAACGGAACCATACGCCGTGTTCGCCGCTCAGGTGCAAGTCATCGGTTGCAGTTTCCCAACTTAAGCGTTCTTAACACCAGCCAGTACTGCAGGATTCGTTCTGTTGCAGTGACAAAAGAGCTTGTTTAGGTAATGATAAAAATCCTTTTTCACCGAGTAAATGCTACAGTTTGTGGGGACACATGCAGCAACAACAAATAAGCAAGTTCGGTCAGTGGGTGACTTCGAAGCTTTACAATAACCAGTATTTCTGACAACCCACATCCGGTTAGTAATTAAGATTTAGTCGATCAAAGCGGCTTCAGTTTTGACGTGCAATGCAACATCCAAACTGGCCTGAGCGGAATTTAAAGTTGCGATATTTCCGGTTATACTCGATGACAAAGTGTTACCAGTATCATATGAAGACGGCCGTAGAGTGAGTAGTGATTCTGAGTCTCGAAACTGGGTCGCCGAAAAGCAGCCGATATGGATCGATAGGCTTTTTAATCTTTCGGCACATGCTGCTTTTGGCCGATCTGTTTGTATCGGATGGCATCGAGATCAAAACTTGTAACGTCAACTTCCTGGGTAGGTTCTGGTGACAAACCTAGCATTTATGATAAACCGTGGCGCCAAAATTACTCTTCCAGTTACTAGACCCAGCGCTTTGTTCGATACGGTTGAGAGTAACTCACATGTTCATTCTTCTCACCAATCGTTTTGCTTAAAAAGGACCTTGTTTAGTGCGCATTGCGCAAACCGGAATAGTACTAATGTGCCTCCAATGAAAGTATTGTTCTTTATATCGTGGACTTATCATATATTAGCGCTCCCGGTTGAAGCTGAGTCTTCTAGTTAGATAACTTTTCGCTCTTAAGGACACTTTTAGTTTAACATTCAGCCGAAACCACCCTCCTACTTTTATTAAGCCAAACAAAACTCCTGAGCGCTGTCTGTTTTCAAGTCCGATATAGTGTGCGACCAATGAGGACTCAAGTTGAATAGTATCCTAGATTAAAGAGATGATTTTGCCTCCCTAACAGCTTTGCCGACAAAGTTGGTAGTGGATTTTTGCCAATAAAAGTAAAGAGTTCACAAGAAATGAAACAAAAACTGCAAAGATAATTGTCATCGATGGTGTCTTCTGCTTAGAAGAAAGCCCCAGCTGCTCGCTCCAAGAGATGGTGTAATGACCTACTGATTACCCCTTTCGCCCACGGTACAGTATTTAAAAGGCTTTGAAATTACAGCTCCGCCATTTATAAAAGAGAAATAGACATTTTGTCCTTTGGTACGTTGACCACATTTAGCTGAGTAGACGAGGCTGAAAGCTTTTAGTGCTCCTTCAGCTTTCCATCTAGTACACTTCCTGTGAAAATGAACAACTAATTTAGACGGGTTAAGAAGCGTTGCTTTACAAGTCTCATTGGATGTTTGGTGGGGATATCGAAATAAAGATAATACTAATAGCAGAGCAGTTAGTACTTGAAATATGAAAATAAGGACTTAACGTTTGCTTCGCTGTAGTCCTACAACCCGATTAGATTCACAGCACCCGCAGTTAACATCAAATAATTCCATGGTAAACATCAGGTGTAGGATGGAGACGTAGTGCTAAGTGACAAAGTGTAAGTGGTTGAGTGCATCATCCAACCGTCTTTTAAATACTGTTAGTATTGTTGCAGAGAGGACCGATGCTGAGAGAGCATTACATGGGTGACAGACACGAATGGAAAAGAAATTTCTGCGGCACTGCAGGCGGCTAAACTGTACAGCGAGTTTTAATGAGTGGCTACTCAGGGTTTTATTGATACTGAGCCGCAGTAAATGGCGACACACATGAGGTGGGTCTCGCACAATCAAGTATACCATAATCAGATCGCCCTATAGTCTGCGATAGCTTCCACTGAATACCCCAATCGCTGCAGCCTCTCCTGGTATGAAAGATTGCGAATTCCAATTACGTTCTTAGATGCCCGACGTTGTGGCTGATCCAGTGCATTTAGGTCGTGTTTTAGTCATGGTGCCAGGCTTGAATTGCGTATTCGGTATGGAGGCGAACATACACACTGAGCATTTGTGGAAATATGGAGCTGTTTACTTGTCCAAACGCCCGTCGCAACATTCCGACGTCTGGGTTCCCAGTCTTAGAGGCCTTTTTGGATTGCCTGGAGCAACCCAAGTCATCTTGAACTAGGACATCTAAGTCACGTTCGACAACTGATTGTTGCAGCATATTCGTTCCGACCTGGTGTGAGTAGCTGCTCTAACGTCAGATGGAAGGTAGCTTGAATTTACTGGCGTTGAAATGCAGTAAGTTTTGGGCTGGAGTTCACGTGACTCGCTTTGTGCTTGGCTCGAGACTTTGCAGGACATGGCTCACAGTAGACACCAGTGGCGCGTCTGCTGCCGTCTTCTAATTAGATTGCCTGTTTAAACTGTGTTTGGTGCTGAGTTGTCTGCGGGGTAATGGCTGATTATGATACGTAGCAGCGAAAGCCGCAAGGAAGCTGTCTCGCCGATGCCGCCTTATCTTTGCATGATAGCCAGCTGTTTGTGACGGTATGTTGTCTACACAAGGTGTAGGCGCCTTGACCCTGAATGTTTGCTTAGGGCATTAAGGTTTTCAGGTAAGTCCCCCTTCTCTCCCTCTTCTTATTATTTATTTCATAGGTCATCATGGTTGTTTAGCAGCGAAGCATCCATCCAAATGGCTGATGTACTGCTGTTGATGATGATGATGATGATGACGACCATTGATACACCCTATCTTGGTCACTCTGAAGCAGATGCTGGTCGGCGTTTGCCTGGATCCTGCGCCAGATTTTGAGATCGTCGGCAAACATCCTTTTATTACCTTTATGCTATCAATAATGTAGGTCTTGAGAGTAAACGTATCATTGACCGAATTCTCTCGCCCGCTCATTCTTTTACGGTGGTTAACTGGTTTGTTTACAGTTGTCCTACAACTAGCCTTAATGGTCTGATCCACAAGGCAGTGAACAGCGCGTTTAACTGGGAAGCGCAACCATAGAGTGGCGCTTAAATATGTTTGTGGTCAATCCCATGAAACCTAGGAATGTTGCGATGTGAGTGCTAGCTGCAGCCACGACCGACTGGAGATGGAAGCTGACGCGTTTTTACGCATCCAACCAGAATCTGTCTGCTTTGAGGATTCCGGAAGCAAACCATTGAGCACTTGCTTTTACAATATTAGGAACAGTGGGTAGCACTTATAATCCGCACTAATCGAGGTGTGAATTAATAGTCAGTAATTTGTTGTCTGTCATGGATAGAAGTGAACGGAGTGAGAAGTCGGTCTCTCCCCAACCTCTTAAAGAGAGATTGTGACAATTTTAGTTGGACTGCTAACCAATGACTGCTATAATTTGAGTTGCTATGAAGGCACTTTTGGAATTGGCTATACGGCGTAGATCAGTAAAATACCGGGTTAAGCAAGTCATTTATTTGCGTTAAGATACTGGACCGCCCAATGAGTTTAAAAGTGTAAGGGAAGACTAGGTGTTTTGATAACAACTCGATAGTGGAATATTACTTAAACAATACAGAAGACATGCAAACTGTTAAGTACCATAGCCCATTCCTGCACAAATTCGTCACAACGTTTTGTGCCCTACTTGCACATAGAGATGCTCAGCTGATCCACTGTGGCGTTATCGATCACATACAAAATAAACGGTTGCATTTATAATACCATCGCCGTAACACAGAGTCGTTCCTTTTCAACGAAATTACATATGTAATCACTGCAAATGACCTATGGTGACCTGGAGAATCCCGTATGACATTGTAGCGCGATGAACGTGCGCTATAGACCGGTGTTCTAGATGATTAACAATTTATGTACAACTACCTGTCCTAGACAGAGAAACGTAGGACACAAGTCATTGCGCATTACTGCGTTATGACAATTTAGTAATCACGATGCGCCAAGCGCAAGCAATATTTGCGAACAGTTCGTTTATAAACCAATGCCAGCAAAGTTTTCTAAACAATCAAAATTCATCTGAAATCCATATCATCTGAGTGGTTATATGCACAGGAATTAGTCAGTCAGCGGAAGTCACTGGTCACAATTGCGCCTCCCTATCGCTCGCTCTCGCTTCGTGAGTGGCTTATGTAGGCACAGGATTTGAATGAAAAAATATATTTGAGAAAGGTGGCGTTATAGCCGTTATATTATATATAAAGGTGTTACGTTATTCGTTTTCCTATTCACCGTTAATCATGCGAGTGGACAATACTGCCGCATTAGGACGACCGACAATTCCCTTTTTGACAGCCGTATGATTTACGGTTCAACACACAATAATCAGCGAACTACCGCACAAAGGGATATGTGTTCAGGTTCATGATCTCAAATGTAAGCGCATACATGAGAGGAGGCAGGTGGATATTATCTCAAAGAACAAATGAACTCACCTGACTCGTATTTGCAATTTGAAAGGTTTACTGTGTACGCGCTACACAAAATGTTAGCGTTAAAACTTATCCAACCGTTTTTTCCTTTTCTTGTGTTTTTGGCTAGTAGTGAAACTTCGTATCGAGGAAGTGTCACTAACACGATCAAGTGAGTTAGCAACTTTATTAAAATGAAAAGGCTAACAACACCTTACTGGAATGTTTGATAGAAGCACAGGATGATTTTTCATTTTCTAACTCGTCGTTACTTGCCTCATCCGCGTCCTCTGGTGGCAGAACAAACAACCCTTCATCGTCGATTAGACCAAGTTCGGGGCACAGCGGAATCTGATCAACAGGTTGCGCGGTATTGGAATTAAATTCCTGATTTGAGGGTGATTTGGCGATGCAATCAGTGCATCCAATGACAGGTGTAAATACCGAGATTGACGCCATTTCTTCAAAATAAGGCCAAATCACTCCTCTGAATGAAAAGCAAGTCCCGTAGGAAATTTAAGAACACCATGATGCCACTTCGAGAAGAAATTTAGCATGACTAGGAGGATATATTTGTATGTACTTAGTTACCTACGCATTTAGCATATATCTTGTCCAATTTAAGCCCAATTCGCCCCCGTCGAATTCGCGGGTATAATACGCCAGGAATTCGGGCACGGTAGATTGGTAGGTAAGACTTGCTGCCATAATTGCGGTTAGTTCTCATCCTTATCCCTTTACAACAAAGACGCTCGCGTAGTTAAAAGTATCGTTAGGGTTATCGTATACTAAGACACCAATAGTATTAGATCCTAACAACTAAAAAGAATTATGTCAGCAACAGAAAGAAAATTTTGCAAATAATCGCTTAGATAAGAAACTGCCTAACACAAGTTCTGTGTGCTTGTACGCCAGGATTGCTAACAAGTATGACATATTCCGGACTTTTACCAGTAAACCTGAAACACAACAAAATTTTAAGTTCCCGCCACCCCCCTAGTAGCTGAAGCGGTACGAATCTAATAGTGTCATCCTACGCGGGGTTCGTGGTAATCATAGCAACTGTGAACTGGAAAAACAAATAAAAGTAATAAGATCAGTAAAGCAAATAGAAACAACGTATTATCTGGTTATTAACAATTATATACTTTTACTAAGTATTGTTTGGCGGCATGCACTCGTCGTAGTTCAATTGAATAAACATGTATAAACAATCATTGAATACATTGAACAGTAGAAAGCAGATCGGATAACCCTTGTCAACTTCCTTACTTTCCGATCGTTGAGAGGATGGTGGTAAAGCGAAAAGGTGTGTCATAATGAGCGAGCACAATTTCGTGGATAACAGCAAAACTCCGACACATTTCGCAATTATAATTTCCACTGCTACTTGAGACTTTCCTAGGTAGAAGCACTGATCACGGCCTCGGGTTTGTTTTTCAATCGTTCACTGCTCGCGTATACAGAGTGCCGTCTAGAAGGACATATCCTCCACCATTTAAACAGTAGCCAACTGTGCCCGCTTGTTCAGCTATCTCTGTGGAGCTGTCAGAATTGGTAGTTTACCCAGGTCGACTCTAAGTAAACGCCTTATGTAAATCAGATTCCTACGACAACGACGATAGTGGAAATAGGACAGCTTCGTACACTGGAATCGAACGAAATAAGATAAGTATCGAAGCACTGTGATTGTTTTTGGACCTTGCCCCTGAACCTTTTTCAATGGATGCTAACTTGATTTTCGTGAGTGGGTAACCTGCCGGTAAGCCGTACTCGAAGATAGAACGTACAGTGAGAGAAACCAAAGTCTTAATATTGAGGAGTCATCCGAGCGGTTGACCTCCTTGTAGACCAAAAATATCTTGTTGCCTATAGCGACTATTTTCATCGTATCGTGAATTGTTCAAAGTTCAGAGGACCCCATTACACTGTAGTCCTTTGCTCGGGAGGGATTTAAGGGATAAAGAGCCATCACTCTGGTGGATGCCGATTGGTTCAGAAGCACCAATTGAGAGAACCAAACGCTTTACGCGGTTGATAGGTAAGCCCCAATGGACTGACCAGTCATGCAAAGTATCTAGGGTCATCTGTCCTCAGTCAGCATCATCGAACTTGTCAACATCCAACCACAGCCTTAGCTCAGCGGCACAGATCCAACCAACAGCTTGAAGGGCAGTCGGAAGTTCACAGATGAAGGTTTTAAATGGTTCCGGGCATAGGACAGTACCTTGTGTCACCGCACAAATAATCGCAACAAGTGAAGGGAGGCATTCATTAACCAAAAGACATTGTACGCATGCAGAACAACTCAGCAATCCAGGAAATAACATTCTCGGAAATGTCAACGTTCGTGATCTTTAAAAGGGGAACTTTATCGGAAGCTGGGCTGACGTCAACAAAAATAACCTACAGATGCGTGCCGGAGTCTGACGATTTCGCCAACTTGTCTCTAGCGACAAGTAGGTTGGAAATGCAAAAACCGATCCTCCTAAATTCAAGCTAGGAAAATGCGTTTAGATTTCCGTCTTCCAGGTTCTGTTGACAAAATCATTTAAGCTGACTTTCCAAAACCTTATCCATAGCTGAGAATGAAAAATAAGCCGGTACTTAACCGGAGCTTGCCGATCTCCGCCTTTGTAGATGGCTTCACGATAACCAATTTCCTCCGGTGGCAGCCTGCTGGTTGCAAGAGAGCCTAAGTTCTTGACGTGAAGGAACAGCAATGTATTCGGCTACGGTCTTGAGCAAAATAGCCTGCGAGCCATCGCAGCCCAGCGAGGCATTGATATTCAGTTCTATAAGTATCTTCAAGACCATCTATGTAGCAAGCCTCACAAACAGATGAGAGGAGGGAGAATGGATTGGATGCGGATATCCTAGAAGAATCCGTATCTAGAGACAGTAGTGCGAGGCATGGAGTACATATTTGGTAGTATCAATGTTCCGCTGGCTAGCGGAACAACGACACCTTGGTGCAAGGTGGGTGGTTCTTGTTGAACCCGTTCCAGCAAATATTTCGTCGCCAGTGCTTCAGGAATCGATGGGTCTTCGGCTGGCAAGGTTTCTCCCTATAAAATGCCACAACTGCCCGCTTAACAACGCTGTGGCGCGGCGGATGTGACTCCTCATAAAATAAAGTCAATCCTCAAATTTACGCAGACAAAATTAACGAACCCACAGACGTCAAATATTTCTTCAGATATCGGCGACGCGCTCGAACTCATCCAAAAGAACAGCAACACATTTATAAACACAAGCAACACACCTACTTTCATACCTACATTTATGGATACACATATATGAATATCCCTTGACACTAATACACGGATCTTGCTTAATTGTAGTACCGCGACGTAGCGGATGTCACTCGCTACAACCTAATCCACTGCTCCATGGATCTTAGAAAATTAGTATGCAACCCAACCACATCGATTGCTTGTTCGCACATTCCTGACCATTACAAACCGTCAAAATGCTGCGGCAAGTTCATGAACACAAGCAACAGACAAACGTTCATATACAATTGGTTAACGTTAGCCGGTTTTAGAGTTTCCCGCCACTGTGGCCAGTCACAGGTCGCCTGCGCCCACAGAGAGACCATGGATGTCTTGCGCCACACCACTCACAGCTCCATCCACACAACCCATATCCAGTTTAAACCCGAAGGAATAAGACCAGGAGGCATGCGGATGGGAGCCACGTTTCATCATCGGAGCCGGCCCACACTCCTTCACAGGCAAACACAAGCACGCTGTATTTGGGGAAGCAAACGCAAACGAAGCGGTGGTTGAACCGTAGTCCGCTCTACACTGACTGCATGAAACCACTCTTCTAGCTTAGCACGACTACAAGAACCGTGCACCCCGTCCCTTCCAGCAAAGACCAATTGTCTCCTGGAGCCAGATGGATGAGGTAGTGGATGATAGACAGGTAGGCACCTTGTCAACATGCATATCAAGCGCAGCCACACCTGGGATGTCAAACAACAGCCAATCACTCAAAACGCCGATAACGAAGAAAGTAAACGCATATGACGACACATATACTCGCTAAACGAGCATATGGAAGAAATTGGTTAAATGTGACTACGCGATAATTACAAAATGTCCGAAAGTTTTTTAAGAAATATCAAGCGATAAAATTACGCCAGTTTTCCATAATTTGCATGAGCGACGTGCGTAAGTTGGGAGAAGCTTATGAAGTACGCAGAACAAACCAAATAAAATGTAATGAATTTTATCCATATTATAAAGGCTTAATTTAAGTGTAAGTTGGTTTAGCCCAACTGCGGTGGAGAAGCATCACGAATGCGACATCAGTCTCAGCAGGTGGCACAAATACACACGTATATATACCCATAGGTCCATTCACCATCATGACAAATTTATATTTTTGTACATTTTATCGCAGTATTGTGGCTTCACATCACCATGACTGTAGAGGTGTGACTCGTGTAGCCAAAAATAAAATTTTTTTTATTTAGCTATTCATTTATAAGTCATCTCAACTGGAAAACAGGGCGTGAATACCATGACCAACCTTAGTATTTCGTCTTACAAATTAGAAAGTTTTCTTTGGATCGGTTACTGAATGTTTAACGAAGTAAAGTTACTGAACTTGTCGCTTATCACTTTTTAAAATACCCAAGTTCCTGACCGTTTCGTACTCAAGCTAGGTTGAAGCTGACTGGCTGACCTTGCATTTGTCCCACAGATTTATCCGTTCCTCCAGAAGCGACAACATTTCTCGATCAATCGAGCGTGGACCCATGGAGAAAGATCTTTTCTTGTAGCTGGCTCTTGTATCCCGAAAAAGCAGCAGACCAGGGCAGCACCAGAACGCATGTATGGAGGAAACTCTCCGGCCACGCACGCTGTACAATTAAATCATTGGAGGTTCGCATTGCAAGTAAGACCACATGATAGTCCAAAGAGTGCTAAATAGAAGTGTGAGTGGGATAAGCGAATCGAGGGCAAAGCAAAGTATTTGAACCTGACATTGTCCCTTCCTTTGTACGTACAAATATAAACACTATAAGTCTACGAAGTATCTAAGTTAACGTAAGCACTCCGAAGCATTATCAAATGGTGTTGTCCTTTAAAACCTAATAGTGGACGGGGTGGCATATACAACCGGAAGATCGTCAGTTTGTATAACTTTGTACCAAGCGCTGTGTTGTAGGTGTGTTCCTCTGTTCAATAGCACTTTGAGAAAGCATTTTATGCAGCCGTCTTGCATTCACCGTCGTCCCATCAGCCAACTTGGTACTTCCTGGCGTGCACACAGATTCCACACGGGTAGGGGTCCGAATACATTACACCCTTTCCGGGAATTGGGTATTAGCACACCAACCAATGTCCCTGGAGGATACGTTTTCCAACGCGTCTAGATTTAACCTGGTAAAAAGCCCGTCTTTCTTATTCGCTGCGATCAGCGGTTTCTTCGGATGTAAAGACTGCATTTAATCGAGTTCGAATTTTCGCCCCAGCATTAGCTCTGAGGAAGTCCTTGCCGTTGCAGCATGTGGAGTGGTTCTGTATACCTCCAATGCAGATACCAACGCATCCTCCCAGGATACTCCAGAAAGCCGAAGGGCTAGTAGAGCTTCTTTCAACGTACGAGTATGTCGTGCGATGAGTCCATTCGTCGCTGGATTATGAGGTTCAGTCCTCGTGTGTCTGATACCATTGCGCCTTAGGAATTC